GTTGAGCTAGAAGTTGGAGGGATAATGCTGCTCTTCCTTTGCATTAATCTCTGTTAGAGTGGTCTACAAGTCATACTGATCTTTACTGGTGTTTTTATGAAACAGGTCTTCTAGATTTTTCTCATAGACCCTTTGCACACTATGGGACACAGGTGTAAATCCAGTAGGGGCTGTCTGTTAGGAGGCAAATACATTTAACAGAAAAGACTCAGTATTTGGCATTGCTACTCTTGCAACTAAGATTTTCTTGCTGGGTGAGGGACATCATGATTACCTTCTTCCCATAGGATTAGATTTCACATTCATCTTCTGGTTGGATTGCTCTATTTGTTCACCAGACATTCCAAAACATGTCTGAATCTTACTTGGATATAGCTGGTAACTGTTTCTCTCAGCTCAAACATCCCCTTAAGCAAGGAATGAGCAAGGGGATTTACTAAAATCAAAGTAGGGGAAAGCTTTAGAAAACTGTCATTTTGTTTCTCTATGAGATTGCATCTATGAAAAAAGAATCAACAAAGTTCCATTTCACTTCATGCAAATATCAAAGTTCTGTCAGAGTTTGTGTGGGCCCCTGTTTAATTCTTTAACATCAGGAGGGTGTAGAAGGGAAAGTTCAGTTTTATTATGTTTGCATTTTATAATATCAGAAGGCTTGTTCTTAGTGGTACATTCTAGAAAGTAAAAGGCATTTTGACCTTGTAGGGAATTTTAGTGCCACGTCAGCTTCTTTTTGGATTTTGTTTAGCATCCGAAAGCTTTCTGGAATGGTACCTTTCTAACTAGAAAGTCTGTCTTCATTAGGTGCTCATAGCAGTGCTTCAGATTTATTTTAACCATTCATGCCAAAAATAGAGTGGATATTAGTTAGCATTCCCTTTTACTTCATGTAATGGCACTGGTGCAAATCTCCAAGGGCATTAGTAGTTTTGAGAATTGCTCCCTACTCACTGCCCAAAAGTCCATCCTTATTTCCAGTTTTTGTCTTTCTGGGGACATTAATACGGTGCAGTTGAGGTTCTTTTCACATTCAGTGAGGTTTCTCTTCTGGTTCTAGTCTCTGCTGTGCTATTATATATTTCACAGAAATTCCTCAGAGTTTTGGAGAATGTGAATAATACCTTCTCTTAGTCTGTAGCACTGATAATTTGTATCTTATTTTATACTAGATGGCCCTTGCAGGAAGATTCCTGCAATAGGGCTTCCTGCTGTGGTCTCCACCGCCCCGCCTGCTTCCCTCTCTTCTCCCCGCCCCGCTTGCTTGCTTCTCTGCAGCTTCGCTCCTTTCTGCAGTACTTGGCTTCTTACTAGGCTGTCTTCAGTCTTTGCTTTGGCCTCAATGTGCAAATTAACTGCCATCTTGGTTTGGTTAATTTGCATACTTGGCCTGATTGACTGATGGGCATGGCTTGTGGTATAGTGAAGGAGCGGTCAATTTGCATGTTTCTCTTATCAGAGAGGATACTTCTTTTGAAAATTTGGTGAGAGCAGGGCAGATATAATTTAAAACTAGAATTATTATAAATATTGCTATTTGTTTTTATTTGTTACAGTAATAGAGAGAGATTAGCTCTACTATACTAGAATAGTAACAGTTACCTAAGAAAATTTAAGTATATGTTATGGGAATTTTATTCAGTATCATATATGTCAACTATTTTAATAATTCAAGCTCCTTTTAAAACTATTTTTATAAATGTGAATTAAAAGTAAGGTAAATATACTTGAAGTCACCTTTTACTATCAGTTTAAACAATTGAGTTTTAAAAATATTCTTAAATGATTGCTCAAAATATAAAGTATTAGGTCAACAGAAGAGAATTGTTGTAAAAAAAAAGCTACTGTATTTGTATTATATTTTGTTATTTCATTTTTTTTATTGAAACCAGGTGCTTTAACTTCTCTAAAGTGAAATTTTTAATGGGTCATATGTAATTTTTAAAAATAAATCTTTATTGTTCCGATTATTACAGGTGTTTCTCTTGTTTTTGTCCCCCTTAGCTCCCCTCTGATTCCCCAGCCCACCCCATGCCCTTACACCTGCTACTGTCTTCATCCATAGGTGTAAGATTTTTGTCCGATCTCCTTCCACACCCCTTAGACCTCCTTCCCCCTGAGAATTGTCAGTCCACTCCTTTTCTGTCTCTGATTCTGTTCTTCAGACTTTTTATTCACTTGATTTTTAGGTTCACTTGTTGGTAGGTATGTATTAGATGTCTTTTTGTTGTTCATAATTTTATCTTTACCTTTTTCTTCTTCTTCCTCTTCTTAAAGAATACCCTTCAGCATTTCATGTAATTCTGGTTTAGTGGTGATGAACTCCTTTAGCTTTTTCTTGTCTGTGAAGCTCTTTGTCTTACCTTCAATTCTGAAGGATAGCTTTGCTTGGTGGAGCAATCTTGGTTGTAGGTTCTTGGTGTTCATCACTTTGAATATTTCTTGCCACTCCCTTCTGGTCTGCATAGTTTCTGTTGAGAAATCAGCTGACATTCGTATGGGTACTCCTTTGTAGGTAACTAACTGTTTTTCTCTTGTTGCTTTCAAGATTCTTTCTTTGTCTTTTGCTCTTAGCATTTTAATTATGATGTGTCTTGGTGTGATCCTTTTTGGATTCCTCTTGTTTGGGTTCTGTGTGCTTCCTGAACTTGTAAGTCTATTTCACCAGGTAGGGAAAGTTTTTTGTCATTATTTCTTCTAATAGGTTTTCAATATTTTTCTCTCTCTCTTCTGGCACCCCAAAAATTCGGATGTTGGTATGCTTGAAATTGTCCCAGAGGCTGCTTACACTATCTTCATATTTTTGGATCATTTTTTCTTTTTGTTTTTCTGGTTAGATGTTTTTTGTTTCCTCAAATTTCAGATCTTTGGTTTGATTCTTGGAGTACATTGATCTACAGTAGAGTTTCTGTGTATTCTTTATTTCTGACAGTGTATGCTTAATTTCTGACTGGTCCTTTTTCATTTTTTTGTCATTCTCATTAAGGTCTTTGAAGGTCTAATCAAGTTTCTCAGCAGTTTTTAGAAAATTCTTGAGTAACCTTATAAATGTGGTCCTGAACTCTATTTCATCCTGTAGTTTGCTTTCCTCCATTTTTTTCATTTGTGACATGTTTCTGGGCATTTTGGCTGCTTCCCTGTGTTGATGGAATGGCTTTGTGTGGTAGGTGACCCACAGGGGCCAGTAGCTCAGCCTCCCCAATCACCCAAGGTGGATGGTCTTGGTACACTCTTTTGTGGGCTGAATGCAAAGTCTTGTTGTAGTTAAGCTTTGATTGCTATTAGTACACTGGGAGGAATTGACCTCTAGGCCAATTGGCTGTGGGCAACCGCTGTTTTTATAATGGGAGAACTGCTGGGCTGGAGACACGCTTATGGTGCAGGACTTGTTTCAGTGGGGCTTTGGTGCTCACTGTGTCTGCCTCTTGTGTCACTTATGGATGTGAGGAGTTGAAATCTGGTATCCCTCACTGACCACTAGGTATACTGGCTTCTGGATCTCCAATGGGGTGTAGATCAGCTATTGTCTGAGGCCACCCTACAGGAGCTATAGGGAGAACTACAGTTTTTTCTCCTCTTTGCTTGAGATTTGGAGGTTTTGGAGCTGTCTGAACTGGGTTGCAAATTTGCTAGGTTAAGCTGTGGTAGGGAAGGCTATTCATATACAAAAGCCGCTGCTTGGAGCTTGGGTGGGTTTGTAGGTTGTGCGGGGCGAGGTCTCAGGGCATCATCGGGCTAGGTTGTTGCAAACAGCGATGGCTGCCAGCCTGCTGTCCCTGTGCCTCTGACTGAGTACCCGTGTCTAGCACCCCAGCACAGCAAGCATTTATTCCTGCGCTCAGCTCTGCAAGCAAGCCACCCTCACTTTCAGACCTGATGGCAGACAGACCAGCTTCTCCCTGTAGGAGTTTGGCTCCCACACGTCTCCCCAGAAACTGGATTTTAGAGAAATCGGGAGCTTGTCTCCCTTTGAGTTGAAGAAAGCAATGCCTGTTGCCAGCTGGGATCTGCCGCCAGTCCAGATCGCATACGCCTCCGTTACCTCAGCTTTTCAGCATTTGTGCACTGAATGGTCTTTTCTCTTTCCTTCTAGTTATAGAAATTCCACTCAACTAGCTTTCCTCTGGTTCTGGGTGATAGATGTTTTGTCTTTTGTTTGTAGTTTTGAAATTGTCATGCAAGGCAGCAGTTTAGGTATTTACCTATGCAGCCATCTTGGGTTCTCCTTATATGTAATTTTAATATCTATTTTAGTGGATGTAAAAGAAAGATAATTGTTGATTCCTTATGTCATAAACAATTCCTTTGACATTAAAAGACTGATCATTACCTCAAGCAATAATAATAAAATGAAATGGTGGTGATGTTTAATTTATTGTCATATATCTGTTATTCTGAAAACTTTCCATAAATATGTTAGAGTTTTAAATACCAGGTAATTTAAAGTTATTTAATGCCCTGTTTCCCCGAAAATAAGACAGTGTCTTATATTAATTTTTTCTCCCAAAGTTGCGGTAGGTCTTATTTTCAGGGGATGTCTTATCTTTCCATGCACTAGGTCTTATTTTCGGAGGATGTCTTATTTTTGGGGAAACACGGTATATATTGGTGATATTTTAATTTCAATTGGATTTCTTGAAATTAATATTATTTCTATTCAATTAATGTCATTTTAAATAGAATTTCCCATTCCCTAAATCCTAAATCCTACAATTCTGCCACTGTTCCTTTTTTTTTTTTTTTTTTTAATGAATGTATGCCAAGAGCAAAACTGTTCTTATCGCTTGAGGTCATGCTAAAATGAGAGGCACTTCTCTAGAAATCCTGGCTGACTTAGGTGTGGGATAAGCATTGCAGTAATAACTTACCTTGAGATCTTTCATTTACCAATAAACCCCTTTGTCTAAGGTTATCTTTGGTTTAGCTTTAGACTTAAATAAAGTTAAGTATTTTTAAGTGACTTATTTAAACTATGTCTCATATTCACTTTTTTTTTTTAATAGGGTTTTTCCAATGCAACTTTAAAATACAAAGGAATAGATTTTGGCAAATCTTTGGGAAGACTAAAGTTACCTGTAAAGTCAGGGCCTGGTCCTGGAGAGTATGATATAGTTCAGTAAGTAAAAAAAAAAAAAAAAAAAAAAAAAAAGTATGCCTTTAATATAGTTTTTACTATAAAGTATTCTTTTTCTTAATTTAAATTATTGTTTAAAGTATTACATGTCTCCTTTTTCCCCCCGTTGACCTGTCTCCAGCCGCTCCCACTCCCAGCATATGCCCTCACCCCCCTACTGTCTGTGTCCATTGGTTATGCTTATATGAATGCATACAAGTCCTTTGATTGATCTCTTACCTCCACTCCACCCCCACCTATCCCTGCTTTCCTTTTGAGGTTGGACAATCTGTTCGATGCTTCTATTTTTGTTCATCAGTTTATGTTGTTGATTATTTTCCACAAATAAGTGAGGACATGTGATATTTACCTTTCTCTGGCTTATTTCACTTAGCAAAATGCTCTCCAATCCAGTTATGCTGTTGCAAATGATAAGAATTCCTTCTTTTTACAGCAGCATAGTATTCTATTGTGTAGATGTATCACATTTTTTTAATCCACTCATCTACTGATAGGTACTTAGGCTGTTTGTAAATCTTAACTATTATAAATTGTACTGCTATGACATTAAAGTATTTCTAATAATTTAGACTAGCTTATGCTGCTATAAAGGGAAAATCAGTACAAAATCTCCAGGAAGTATTATATTGTGGAATAACCTATACAAAAACTATTGCTTTTTTGTGAGCCAGATGCTGTGCTATCCTGCTTTACATGTTTCACCTCATTTAATGGTCACCAGTTTCTAGTAGTTACTATTGATATATGTATTTTATTAGTGAGAAATACAAGGATTGAAGAGGAAAAATAACATATTCAAGATCATGTAGCTATTAAGGCCTGTTCGATTGATTATATAGCCCATGTATCTAAGTGCTAAAATATACTGTCTTTCATTATAAAACAGACAAACGATCAGAGAAAATATAAAATAAGTTGACCTTGGATTTTTCATTTTGTCCCTGCTTCTGGTTTATTCTTCTGACTATGTGATATATTTGGAAGGCATTCTCAGTGTGGATCAGAGGCATAACAATAGGTTGAGGCAATATTAATGAAATTGAACTAGGAATAAAATTTCTGATATAATAGCTTTGTTTTTATTTTCTCCTACTTTTACAGTAAGGCCTTAAACAACGATCCATGGAAGACCAAATTGAGTAACCATTACCATATTGTACTCAGAATCTAGACCGTTTTTTTTTATCATTAATTTTTTAACAACAGGGTTCAGATTATCTGCATGATACTTTCTCTCATAGAATAAATTTTCTCACAAGACGTCTCACAGCGATTATCCCATTCATTTGTTAGATTGATTCAGACACATCTATATCCCACTGGTAGATATAGCTTAGACTCCTGTAAGATACCCCAGCTACTGTTTATTCATTGAACAAGCATTGTGTGGATTCTGGCTACGTGCTAGTACTAAACTTAGTAACTGAGAAAAAAGAATAGAACATGGTCCTTGTTTTCGGGAACTTATACTCTACTGTCCTTTTCACTCTTGTAATATTGGATATACACTTTGTATTTTTATTTTTTTAGTAGTTACACTAGAACTTTAACATGTATATTTAGCCTAATGCGGTCTAAACGTAATATCTTTGTCATTCTTCCAAAGAAAACAAAGTCTATCAAATGCTTTAACCCTGCTCGTTCCCTTGACACACATTTTTGTTATTTAGTATTCGAATCATATCACCATCTTCTTTTATTGTGGTTGGTTTGCTTATCTATTTCTTTATCTCATGCCTGCCACTTTTATTGAGGTTTAATTGACATAAAACAAAATTAACCTTTTTGAAAGTAGTGGTTCTATGGTAATTGTCTTCCATTCATTCTATTACACTTTTTAAAAAAATATATATTTTATTGATTTTTTACAGAGAGGAAGGGAGAGAGATAAAGAGCTAGAAATGTCGATGAGAGAGAAACATCGACCAGCTGCCTCTTGCACACCCCCTACTGGGGATGTGCCCACAACCAACGTACATGCCCCTGACTGGAATTGAACCTGGGACCTTTCAGTCCACAAGCTGATGCTCTATTCACTGAGCCAAACCAGTTTCGGCTCTATTACACTTTTGACTAAACATCAGGCATAATCAGGACTCTATCTGGTCATGTTATTCTGACTTTATATGTAGTATTTAAAAAATATATATATATGTATTGATTAATTTCAGAGAGGAAGAGAGAGGAGGAGAGAGAGGAACATCAATGATGAGATCATTGACTGTCAGCCTCCTGCATGATCCACACTGGGGATCAAGCCCTCATGCATGTGCCCTGTCTGGGGATCAAACCATGACCTCCTGGTTCATAGGTCAGTACTCAACCACTTAGCCATGCCAGCCAGGTTATATGGTGGTATTTTTAGAACAGCTTTTTTCACTTCTTCAGCCTTATCCCACTTCCATTTTCCTTCCATTTTTTACTTTTATTTGATCTTCGTTATTTCCAGTTTTTTCTCTTCTTCTATGTGTATTTTTACTTTTGCTCTTAAGAATTTATCTGTACTGATTGCATTCCAGATTATAGTTATTATCATTTCCATAACTGGTTTTTGGTTTTGCTGCTTTCACTGTATATTTTATATGAAGTTGTCTTGGTTTCTTCTGGCAGCTGAAATTTTCTACCTTTTTAAAAAAAACTTTTGTTTTATTGGATCACGTCAGAATTATTCTGGGAGATTTGATACAGTATAAAGTGAAGATTCTTGACCACTGTAAATGGAAAGATGAACTCATAGGTTTCTGTTTGGGAAAGACAGACCTAAGTGATATGTGACTCTTTTGATCCCTCAAATATAAATTTATTATCTGTAAAAGTATTTGAAGTTTTGAAAACAAATCCATTTATTAAAAATTGTATTAAAAAACATAAAGTCAGCCTTTAATAGTGAACTGAGATGTTAAATGCATAAAATATAGCAATGTCAAATAGTTGTTTTTATGTTTTTCTATTACCTGCTTTTCATTCTGTTTATGTTCTGGATAGTTCACTGGATATGTTTCATATCTAACTTTAAAAATTCTGTTTAAGAAATAGAAGAAAATAGCAGTATAGTCAGTATAGCCTATAATATAATGCTTATTACAGCTAACAGTTATTGGGTACTTATTATGGGTATGTAAGGCACTAAACACTTCATAAATATTATCTACTTTAATCATTACAATCTTGAGAATTGTTTACTGCTATTCCCAATTAGATGGAGAGTCTGTCTGACCCTTAGAGAAGTTAAGTGATTTGTTTAAGGTCACAGAGTTAGTAGATAGCAATGCTATGATTCCCATCAGGTTGTCTGACCTCAAACTTTGGGCACTTAATCACTGCTTAGTTTTTAATCTTTTTTGAGGTTGTGTACATTTCAGTGATAATAAGCTTCCCTTTCATTTTCAGAGATCTTTCTTTATGTTTATTTCTTGATTGTTTTATGATATAAATAGCATAGGGCTATTTCCCCTATTATTTTAGTAATAATTAAAATGCTAAAGCATTTGAAATTTTAAAGAATTTTAATGATAAATAGAATATATAGGAATTTTTTGGTAGCTTTTTATTTAAATTCCTGACACATCCTATTTTATTTTTGGAGTCATTATTACAATAGGTTTATTTATTTATTTATTTTTTAATTTTTAATTTAATTTTATTTTTTTAATATATTTTATTGATTTTGTACAGAGAGGAAGGGAGAGAGATAGAGAGTCAGAAACATCGATGAGAGAGAGTCATCGATCAGCTGCCTCCTGCACACCCCCTACTGGGGATATGCCCGCAACCAAGGTACATGCCCTTGACCGGAATCGAACCCGGGACCCTTCAGTCCCCAAGCCGACGCTCTATCCGTTGAGCCAAACCGGTCTCGACTAGAATAGGTATATTATAATGATCTGAATTGAAAAATGCAGAACTATTTACCAAAATAAATAAATGCATTTTACAAAGTATAGAATATATTGGCCTGTCACACCCAGATAAATTTATTATTGCATACTTTTTAAGCAGAAAATGTTGGTGTAAAATATTCTGTTGGTTTATATAACTATATATTTGAATTTGAGAACTCAATATCTTTCTTAAATTTTTAAAGGAAAAAGACATATTATGAAAATATTAACATCAAGAAAGATCAACCAAAAAATTATTTATTACATCTCCCACGACTTTATGAAGTAATAATAATTCAGGAGGCAAAAAGGGTAAGTTGAAAAGTAGCTGTTTCATCTACTTTCTAGTTCTCTGATAACTTCATTGAATCTTATTATGACAAGGTTAAAGTACTCTTAGATCTACTGTATCTAGTTATCACTCAGTGAATATTGTGGAAGAAACTGTATTTAAAATATCTGTCAAGTTATCACTGTCTCTGCTAAAACACCTCTTATATTGATAATTAAAAAAACCAAAGCCTCTCCAACCCTAAGTTTTTTGTTTGTTTCAGTAAGGCCACTGTTTCTAACAATTTTCTTTACAAACTGACCTAAATTTACTTTCCTGCTCACTACCTATTTATTCTTTCTTTTCCTATGACTTCTTTTCAGTCTCTTTTTATTTTTTCTAGTAAGGATTAATGTTCTAAATATCTTTGAATATCTCGTTATTTAACTTCATGGTAACTTATTTTTCTTTGAAGTTATCAATGGGTCTTCTTATGTTTGTGAATCTCTCTTTTAAAAAAGCATATCATACTAGAACTAAACACAATATTCTCATGTATTCTGATTAGTAGCCAGTAAGATTTTCATCTTCCTTGTTCTGGATAGTGTGTTTATTAATATAAAACCCAACATTCCATTAAATACATTTTTTGTAGCTATGTTTCGGTTTACTCATTTAGAACTTGTAGGCAAATAATACCCCAAATTATCCTCTTTTCAATATATTATTATATTTAAACTTAAAAACTTGAAGATTATAGGACAACATTTTATTTATTTTTTATTTTTAAAAAATATATTTTTATTGATTTTTTACAGAGAGGAAGGGAGAGAGATAGAGAGCTAGAAATGTCAATGAGAGAGAAACACCGATCAGCTGCCTCTTGCACACCCCCTACCGGGGATGTGCCTGCAACCAACGTACATGCCCCTGACGGGAATTGAACCTGGGACCTTTCAGTCCGCAGACCAACGCTCTACCACTGAGCCAAACCGGTTTCAGCTAGGATAACATTTTAAAAATGGATTCATTTAGAGTAATGAGAAATGATTTTTAGTTGAAAAATCAATGTTAAAATTCTATTAAGAATTTTCCGTGCATTTGATTTCTTTGGTCTTCCCCTAAATATAAATCAGCAATTAAAATATTATTTATAGAAGTATTAGAAAAACATAACAAAATAATGTAGTATAATTGTTTTCATAGAATAACAATTATAAATTTCCAACAGAATAAAAAGTATAAATTTAGAATCATGAGAGATGCTGGTCTGTAGTTTTCTTTACTTGTAATTTCTTTGTCTAGTATTGGTATTGGGTAATGCTTGTCTCATAGAGAATAAATTAAGAAGTATTCTGCTTCTATCCTCTGAAAGAGATTATAAATATCTTCCTCAAATGTTTGGTAAATTCACTAATGAACCCATCTGGCCCTGGATTTGGAAAGTTATTAATTATTAATTCAATCTTTAATAAACATAGGCCTATTCAGATCATCTTGTTTCTTTTTGTGTGAGTTTGGCAGATTGAGTTTTTCAAGGAATTTGTCCATTTAATCTAGATTATCAAATGTATGGGCATAGTGTTATTTATAGTATTAACTGATTATTGTTTTAATGTCCACGGGAACTGTAGTGATGCCCTCTTCTTCATTTCTGATATTAGTAACTTGTCCTTGTTTTTTCTTAGTTTGTTTGGTTAGAAAGTTATAGATTTTATTAATTTTTTTAAAGAACAAGATTTTGCCTTTATTCATTGCCTCTATTCATTTCTTATTTTCAATTTCATTGTTTTTCTGCTCTAATTCTTATTACCGTATTTTTCGGACCATAAGACGCACCGGACCATAAGACGCACCAGTTTTTAGAGAAGGGAAATGAAGAAAAAAAGATTCTGAAACAAATAGTGTCCTAAAATATTTTATGTGCATTAAAACCCAACATCACAGTCATAAACACATGTAATCAACCCTGTAAAGTAAACAGCAGCATTTAGAACCATTTTACAGCCGGGCAAGCACACAGAGACCACACAGAGCCGGGCAAGTAAAAAAACTTTTTTTTTTTAAAGTATATGTGTAGGCTATATTTGGACCATAAGATGCAGGGACTTTTCCCCCCCACTTCTGGGGGGAAAAAAAGTGCGTCTTATGGTCCGAAAAATACGGTATTTCTTTTCTTCTGAAACAGTGTGGTGATAGCTAGAGGGAGGGGGGCAAAGGCTGGGTGGAAGTGGGCAAAGAGGGGGAAAATGGGAGGCATCTGTAATAGTGTAAAAAATAAATAAAAAAATAAATTCAGCTGATGCTCTGAAATTAATTATGGCACACAAAAATTAATTATAAGTAGTAATCTCTTGAAACTGTTTTAGAATACTCTTTATTTATATGGAACCCATTGCTCTTTCTGTTGTTACCTTGGATCTCACCCAGATTTCTGGCTTCTACTGACCCTTCATAATTCTCTTTTTGGCTTACTATAGTTCAGCTACCTTCTACGGTTCTCATATCTTTATAAAGTTCTTCCTCTGAACCCTCTAGTTCTGGCTAATTCAGGGCAATTTCTTCCTTTTATCTTCCTATAAGGGGGAAATTACCACACATGTTAGATGAGGGGATGTAATGTTTTTAGATTTGTTTCTCAATGTAGTTTTTCCCCCCATGTTATTTAGTGTGCATCAAAATTCACCACTTTTTAAAGTTACAAGTTTGCCTTTAAAGACAATCAGCTTTATTAAGATACCAGAGTCCTGGAACATGAAATTCGTGCATGGGTAGGGTCCCTAGGCCTGGCTGGTGATCAGGGCTGATTGGGGTCTTCTGGCTGCTGGCTGCCCCCTCCCTTCTTTCTGCACCACCCTCTGGTGGTCAGCGCATGAACTGGTCATAGCGAGAGAGAGAACTCCCGGTCTCACTCCTGCAGGAATACTCTCTCTGCATGTTAGCCTTTTCTATATATATAGATAATTCATATATCATATGCATCCATTTAAAATACGCAATTTAGAGTTATGCAACAATCACCACAATCAATTTAGACTATTTAACTCACCCCAATTAGCAGTAATTCCCATATCCCCTAATCATCACAGCTCTAGGCAATCACTAATCTCCTTTTTGATTTTGTAGATTTGCCTATCTGGACATTTTATATAAATGGAATCATACATTACTTGTCCTTTCTGACTGGCTTATTTTACTTGGCATAATTTTTTTCATGTTGTAACACATATCAATATTATATTTCTTTTTATGGCTGAATACTATTTTATTGTATGGATTACCACGTTTTGTTTATCCATTTATTGATTGATGGTCATTTAGATTGTTTACACTTTTTGGCCAAGAATAAAAATAATTAGTATACTAATATGCTAACTAAAAGCATAAGAATAATGAGCAGAAGAATAATGATGCTTTGAATATTAGTTTACAATGTATTCATTTCTCTTGAATATATATCTGGGATTGAGACTGCTGGGTAATATCATAACTCCTATGTTTAACTTTTTGTGGAACTGTTTTATAAGGCAGTTAAGTCTGCCAAAGTCTGAAGGTTCCAGTTCCTCCACATCTTTGAAACACTTGCTATATTTTATCTTTTTGATAGCCATTCTGGTATGTGTGAAGTCACATATCATTGTGATTTTGATTTGAAGTTCCCAGAGACTAATGACATTGAATACCCTTTCATGCACTTATTGGCCCTTTATATATCTTCTTTAGAAATATGTCTAGTCAGATTCTTTGCCCATTTTAAAGTTGGATTGTCTTTTTATTATTGATGTGCCAGAGTTCTGTAGGATTGATTTTCTTTTGTCTGAACTTATAACTAATTTGAATAACATTATTTGTTACATATGGAATTTAAAGAGTTATGCAACAATCCCCAATTAAACCATTCTTGGAGGACAAGAATCTTTCATTCTGCCGAAACCGGTTTGGCTCAATGGATAGAGTAGGGGTGTCGAACTCAATCAGAGAAGGGGCCAAAATCTAAAATCCAGCCTAAATTGCGGGCCGAATGGTTTACTGAACAGTCATAAACTGTCATTGTTATGGAAACGCAGCGGAGTGCAGTGATGACAGCGCGGTGTGGGCCACATTGCAAGGCCTGGCGGGACGGATTTGGCCCGCGGGCCTTGTGTTTGACACATGTGGGATAGAGCATTGGCCTGCGTACTGAAAGGTCCCAGGTTCGATTCCGGTCAAGGACATGCACCTTGGTTGCGGGCACATCCCCAGTAGGGGGTGTGCAAGAGGCAGCTGATTGATGATTCTTGCTCATCGATGTTTCTAACTCTCTGTCCCTCTCTCTTCCTCTCTGTAAAAAATCAATAAAATATATATTTTTTTAAAAAAGAACCTTTCATTCTGCTTGTTTTTTTATATAACTGTAGTTAGTGGAGTAGATACATAAGTTTTACTAATGCTTTTGTAATTAATTGACTACAGATCTGAAAAATGAGTTTAATTTTAAAATTTGAATTTAAAGAAAGAATTTGTAGGTTTTTGCTTTCCTCCCATTTATCCTATTGACTAAAAAGAATAAATTTAACTACTATATTCTAGGGTCTTTGGATTTAAGCATTTCCTGGTAATATAACAATATATAAGATATAATAGCATGAATATAATACTTTAATGCATGGTTGTGAGTTTTTAAATTTATTATTCTTGAGTTCTACTTAATTCTATTTTATACACAATATTGTTTCAATACATCTTTTGAATATATCATGACTTCCACTCTACTGTGAACTTTTATTAAAAAATATTTTTTATTCAATCTGAATATTTTTCATAGGAATATATCTTGCCATTGACAATAAAAACTTGTTTTAATATCTTCCTTAATATTAATAAAGTCTTTAATTAAAAAAAGTTTAACACTTGTTCCAATTTAAATTCTTTGATGTAGTAATGTAAAATTTATGAAACTTATTATCTGTTAAAAAAAATATAACACAATTTCATTATATGGCACCAATTCTTCAGATCTTTATTGACATAAAACCTTATTCATTCATTCATTTCCCATATT